ACCTCCTAGGGTTTCACTCAATTTCCTGTGTTTCCAGGTCTCTCTTCATAATCCCAAACTTGATTCTGGTAACTCTAGTTCAACCCCCTGCCTTTCTTCTCCAGATTTAACCTTATTTACTTCATATACATTGGGCAGCAATATGCCTTGGACTGCAGAGGACAAAGGCAAAACAGACTTTTTGAAAAATTATTTAAAGTATTACACGTCTCCTTTTTTCCCCGATTGAGCCCTCCCAAACAGACTTTTAAAAAAAAGTTGATTAACAATATATATTTGTTTATTCTATATTGAATTTTAAAGGTATTTAGAACTTATAAAATATTTGTCAAATGGTAGGATTACGGTGAAAACTCTGATGTAGTAGATAAAGCCTAGAGCCCAAATGAGCGGTTGGTGAGTGTCCCAAGGTCCCTGAGCTCCAGAGAGAGTTCAGCTCAGCCCCTGAAACCAATTAAGAGCTTTGTCTTAGCATAAAAATAAAGAGGAGTTAAAAACGCATTCCTTTCCCAGTTTTCTTCCCATTTCATTTTTAAATGCGATTTGCAGTTTTTCTTTTAAAAAGGATCTGTGACTCTGAAGAGAGGGTGGGGATTTATATATAGAAAGTGTGGTTTATCATTTTTAAAAAATGGCAATAATGGTGAGTTTCAAGGACCTGTTTCAACGAGAAACACTTTGTGCTACCCTAAGAGGAGGCAGGGGCACCAAATTCAATGTCTTGGAATAATTCCCTCCCTGGATTCAAAGATTCATTTATTGAAATAAATCAGGAAGCATTGGCAGAGCGGAAATCCGCTTGCTGGGTTTAAAGGGTCTTTAAAATGTTGCAAGTGTTAGATTGCAAGTCTTTTCTAAATACAAAACAGAAGAAAAGACCGCAGTGTTTCCCTTGGACTTAAAGAAAATTGCCAGGTCTCCGATTTAGGATAATTTCATGTCCGCCACAGAAAATGTGTTTAGAAAGAAATCCTGCATGATAACACAACGTGCTGAATGTGTTTTAGTTTTTCGGAGGCTGGAGTGAAGAGAAAAGTGATGCAGAGTGGGGTACTGGATTGTACAGAGAAACCGTCCCTCCTGCCGCTTTGGAAGTTCTGCTTCCCTCCGGCTTCTCCAAGATGAATCTCAAAATTCGGGCTGAAAAGCTTTGCTTATTTGGCAGCGTTCAGTTTCTCTGATTTTATTTATTGCTTCAGATTTGAGCATGAAAATAAATCTCTTTTTTTCCTATTTACTGTTTGAACTCACTGTGAGGGAAAGATCCCATTCTATTTCCTATCCATACAGACGTGGATATTTAGACCAGACCACATACAACTGAGGGACGCATAAAACAGATTTATTGGTTAATTTACCCCGCCTAATACACATGTAAACCCCAGTATGCCAACACTGCCAAGAGAGCGTGGTTATAGCATAAAATAAGAACCAGGGCCCCTGGGTTCAAGCTGCCCAGCTCTGCCCAGCCCAGCCCAGTGAGTCTTTTCCCCACCTGAGAAACGAAGAAACTGGAGCGCTCTTCTGCCTTGCTCCAGCTTGTGTGCAGGAAAAAACTTTTCTGTGCTCTCCTCTTTCAGGCACCAATCTGCTCTCAGATTCAGCTCCCTAAAGCCCCCTGTTCCCTGAAGTTGTTCCTAGGGTGTCCTCCGAAAATCGAGTAACGGGTGGGGGCTGCAGGTAATCAGGAAAACTTCCCATTGTTATTCTTGACTCACGGGAGTGGTTTGCCGGCAGCTGCTTTGTTTTCACATGTGATAACTTGCTGTTTCTGGAGATATTTCGCTTTCTATCCTGTTTCAAGGGTCAGGGTTCTCCCTCCCCCAAAAGGAAATCTCCACCCAAACCAACCGAAATAGAATTCCAAATGGCCTGCCTCTGCCTTACTGTTCACAAAGCCACCCGACTCGTCCTTTTAGGGGCATCTGGGGTCGCTGCGACCCACGGAGCGATGACACCCCCTCAGGGTAGCACCCTCTGGCTGGGTCGGGCTGCCCCTGGAAGGGCTCCCCGCCCGGGGTTTTGGGCTGGCTGAACTGCCTCAGATCGGCCCCTTAACAAGCATCTCCCCTCCCCACTTCTTGGTTGATGATCTAATTGAATTATGCCTTTTTTGTTCCAGTGACTACAGAGCACGTGTTGGAGGCAATTAATTATCGGAATGTGGCCATATCAAAACGGACACTGGGCACCCGGTAGGTCTGCGGCGGCAACATCCCCCTGCACAGCGCTCGGGACCCCTCCCCACAAAGGAGCAAGTTGGGCTCCGTGGGCCACCCTCTTTTCTCATCCCCCTCTTTCCTCGCCTGACTGCCCGCCCTGACTCCCAAAATGCGCAAGGCCCCTGATTCTCGGGATACCAGGCAGGGCTCCCCGGAAACCCTTGGGCCAGCTAGGACTCGACAGCTACCGCCTCCCTGCCCCAAGCCTTGAGAAACGCTCTCCTCAGGATTGACACTGTGAGGAAATTCATACTTTTTCAAGCCAACCACTGTCCCACCATTCACGGGGGTAGATGGGAGGTGAAGGAAAGTAAAGGAAGGGAGAATATAAAGGGGGAAGTGAAAAGAAAGGAGAAAAAGAAAGAAAAGCAACTCTCCCTTTTTGTAAAACTGCCTCCAGGGAATTCATTTGCATGATTTAAGCGTATTTGTTATGTGAACCCCCCCTCCCTCTCCCCACCCAAAGAAACCCTCTCCTGAGCGCCAATTCTCAGTAAACGTAATAATTTCAGTTAGCAGTGAACTCACCTTCCAACCTAAGGAGAGAGCTCTGGATGTAGAGGGAGAACTGGGGCGAGTTTGATGAGAAGGGGTGACTATGGTACGTGTGCAACCAGCAAGGTCTCCCCCAGCAAACGGGCTAAAAAAGGTGAAGTGTTGGCCAGGCCAGGCGGATTGGGGGGCAGGAAGTGAAAGGCTGCAGTTTATAAAGCGCGGCTTGAGGCAGTCTCTCTAAGCGCCTCTGAACTTGATCAGATGTTGTTTCCTACAGAGAGATGGCGGCCAGGCTGTGAGGCAGCCTCAAGGTTCAGACTTTGGGGCTTGGCCCTGTTAGGGATGTGACAATCACAGCCATCGTTTTCTCGGCCTTTTCTTTCCACTCTCACTCTCCTGCATTCTTTGCAAATGCCCTGCCAGACAAAAAAAAAAAAAAAAAAAAAAAAAAAAAGAGTGGATTTATAGCCTTGTCTGAACTGGTCATTATGTCCAGAAAGACCTTGCACCAGACAGGAGGGGGTAGTGATCCCACACACAATCCTGGAAAGTAAATTCTTAAGGGGTAAGAAGTCCACTTGCTGCTCCGGGTAGAAGTAAAAGAGAGCAAACTCTTAGCTGTTCCGAGGGGGTAAAATTTTACCTCACAGTCTTCATTCTGGCCCCCAACTTTTGCTCTTGAAAATGTTGAGAATTCGAAGCTAATTAGTCCTGTGGTTTGAGAACTGCAATGACTTTGCAATGTGTGTATTTTCTTTCTTGTGTACATGTTTTGTGTACATCGGCTAAATGTATTCTGTGCATATTTAACATTTGTGTGTGCATTTGCTGTGTTAAATGCGTGTATTTGTTGTGTGTAGTTTGTTGTTTTACTGGGTTGTGTGCTTACTGTTTAGTTGTGTGTGTGTTTACTGTGGTGTGTTAGTGTTTACTGTGTTTCGTGCATGTTTCCGGCTGTGTGCGTGTGTTTGTGTTATATGTGTTTGCCGTATTTGTCTGGTGTGTTGTGGGGGAAGGTGGGGGGGAAGCCGCAAATATGGCCATTACGCACAAACTAAAGACTCAACGCTGGGTTCAGAGGGAAGAGAATCAGTAGTAATTGTAATCGTTTCTCCTTGTTTGGGTATCGAACAGGCAGCAGCAGCTCAGCGCACAGATGACGAGCTGGCCAGCCTCATTCCGGAGTCTCTCTAGAGACCTTCAAAGCCCATAGTGGTGTGTGGGGAGGGAGCAGCTAGTGGGCCTTGAGCGTGGAACTGCTGCGCGCGCCTCGGGATAGGCGCCCTGCGGCCTATGAGGAGGAACAATCTCGGGGTGGTGAGGCACAGCTCCGACGGAGGAACAATCCTCGAGGGGCAAAGAGTTCATTTGGTCAAAGCGGGTACTGCGCGCGAGAGGGGTGCTTGCACGCTTCAGGACGGAGTGAAGAGGAGGAGAGGCCTGGCTCCGCCCCGCCGGTAGTTGGCTGGAGCCTGGTTCCAGTTCCCTACAGCAGCGCAAGCCTGGCCAAGCCCACTCGCGGGCGCCCGGCCGCAGCCACCTCACCTGCCAACCGCCCGGCCATGGCCCAATCAGAGGCGGTCGCTTGGAGGAGGCTGCCATGTTCCAAACTCTGCGCTGCCAATCAGTGTGGCGGCGGCCAATGGACTGCAGGGCCGGGGGTCAGGTGACCGGGCGCTAGCTGGTTCCCCATTGGCGCGCGCCTCACGGCCTCCCGCTTGGTTTATGTGAAAGGAGTGAGTGATTGACTTTATCAGTCCAAGGACATTACTCTGGAGGCGAAGAGGCTGGGACTCGCGCAGCCAGCAGTGCGGACCGAACCTGCCTCCTGCCCGCTGGCTGTGAGCTGGCTCTGCTATTTAGCGCAGCCCAGCCCGGAGGCCCGTGTGGAGGGAGCCTCCTGGCCCCTCGGTTGTGCTCTCTGGGAGAGGAGGGGTGCCTGGGACAGGATTAGAAAACTCCGCCCTCCACTTGTTATTTTGCTTATTTTTCTTTGTGCGCGCCAGTTAGTTTGTTAAACCAGATCTAGTCCCAGAATCTTTCTCCTCACTTCCCCTCTCCCCTCCTCCCCACTCCAGCTCTTTCTACTACTTCCCTTCCTCCTATCCTTCTGCAGGAGACTCGCAGCGACGGAAAGTTGCAGCCCCTGGTACTGCCTTGGGGGTCTCCCGGCTGTGTCCAACTGCCGCCACCCCTCTCCGACTACAGAACTTCGGGGATCTCCTTTACCCGCACCGTCGCTCATTGCAGCCGGATCGCCAGTGCCCAGAACGCCCCCCACCCATGACGATGCTCCTGGACGGAGGCCCACAGTTCCCCGGGCTGGGAGTGGGCAGCTTCGGCGCGCCGCGCCACCACGAGATGCCCAACCGCGAGCCGGCGGGCATGGGGCTGAGCCCCTTCGGGGACTCTCCCCACGCGGCCGCCGCAGCCGCTGCTGCTGCCTTCAAGCTGAGCCCCGCCGCGGCTCACGATCTATCTTCTGGCCAGAGTTCTGCATTCATGCCACAGGGTTCGGGTTACGCCAACGCCCTGGGCCATCACCACCACCACCACCACCACCACCATCACCACACCAGCCAGGTGCCCGGCTATGGCGGTGCCGCCTCCGCCGCCTTCAATTCCACGCGTGACTTTCTGTTCCGCCAGCGCAGCTCCGGGCTCGGCGAGGCAGCCTCGGGTGGCGGGCAGCACGCGCTCTTCGCTGGTTCCGCTAGCGGTCTGCACGCTCCAGCTGGCATTCCCGAACCATCAAGTTACCTGCTCTTCCCTGGGCTGCATGAGCAGACCACCGGGCACCCGTCGCCTACCGGGCACATGGACAACAACCAGGTCCACCTAGGGCTGCGAGGGGAGCTGTTTGGCCGTGCGGACCCGTACCGCACGGTAGCCAGCCCACGCACGGACCCCTACACTGCCGGCGCGCAGTTCCCTAACTACAGCCCCATGAACATGAACATGGGCGTGAACGTGGCAGCCCACCACGGGCCTGGCGCCTTCTTCCGTTATATGCGGCAGCCCATCAAGCAGGAGCTGTCGTGCAAGTGGGTCGACGAAGCTCAGCTAAACCGGCCCAAGAAGAGCTGCGACCGGACCTTCAGCACCATGCACGAGCTGGTGACACATGTCACCATGGAGCATGTGGGGGGCCCAGAGCAGAACAACCACGTCTGCTACTGGGAGGAGTGTCCCCGCGAGGGCAAGTCCTTCAAGGCGAAGTACAAACTGGTCAACCACATTCGAGTGCACACGGGCGAGAAACCCTTCCCATGCCCCTTCCCAGGCTGCGGAAAAATCTTTGCCCGCTCCGAGAACCTCAAGATCCACAAGAGGACCCACACAGGTAAGGATAAAGGGAGGCGGACGCGGGATTCATCGCTACACTGTGCCATGGAGCCGATGTACAGCGATAGGGGTGATGGCCAAATAGAGGGGCGGCGCCCCTCCAAGGTCTTTGGGAAAGGAAGGATTGTCAGTGTCCCTCCATCTCTCGCCCGCCTTTCACGCCCTGCGGCGCTTTTGCCTACTTCTAACTTCCCGGGCAGACGACTCTGGTCTTTGGAACTAATTGGAACCTTCTCGCGTCCAGGGACAAACTGGCGCCGCCTCTTTTTGTCTCCCTTTCTGGGTTACTAGGAAGGGACTACGAATGTGTTGAGAGCCTATTGCTTACAAGCGATTTAGCTTTCTGCACACATTTGGGAAAAGCAACCATAGAAATGCTAATGAAAGCTAACTTTCGGTTACTTCCGCTCTTTTTTACCCGTGATTGGCACATCTCCTAATTAAATGACTGATACTTTTGTCAAACTATTTTTATTTGGAGTTCCAGGTTCAATTCAGTCCTACGGGAGGAAAGCTAACGTAGAAAAGGCATCAGTTTCGTGGCTTGCTCAGAACATCTTGTAAACTGTCTGGAGTCCCTGGATTTATATAGTTTTCTTTTTGAACGTTAAGTACGACGAACCAAGCTTTCTAATACTGAGTTTAGCAAAATCGCTGCATTTGAAAAAGGCAAATTAACAGGTACAAAGAAGGAACTAAATGGGATTGTACGTCCCGGTTCATTGTGCCGCCTAAGATTGGTTACATCCACTAGGCAGTGGCAGAATGTGGCTGCGCGTTGGGAACCCTGGGCTGGGTAGGGTGGAACCACAACTTAGGGGGAAACTTTGGAGGAGCCTGGTGATTTCTTATCCTGAGAGAGAACAAAGGGATCCGCAAGTTCTGGGCCAGCCCTGCCCCACCCCGCGCACCACTCCCAAATCAGTAGGCTTAACCAGCACTCTCCGTTTTTCTCCAGGGAAAAGAGATGCTACAGCCGCTCCCTCTCCTGGAAGATCGCGGGGCGCTCCGTATCCCGCTGCTCCGCTCCAGGAAGCTCCAGGCCCTGACCATATTTTCCCCCTTTGCATTTTTACCTTTTGCAGGTGAGAAACCTTTCAAATGTGAATTTGAAGGATGTGACAGGCGCTTTGCCAACAGCAGCGACCGCAAGAAGCACATGCACGTGCACACCTCGGACAAGCCCTATATCTGCAAAGTGTGCGACAAGTCCTACACGCACCCTAGCTCCCTGCGAAAGCACATGAAGGTAATTACCTCTTTATTAGCGGTCGGTGGTTTATAAACACTAGGCCCGATACCCGGCCGCGGAATGGAAGCGCCCGCGATGCCAACCCTGTATCCTCCACGTTAAATCCCATTTGCTCCAGCGGTGACACCTTGAACCCATTTTTAGGAACCTGGAGGGGGCGGGGGAGAGCACTGTGGGGAGGAGGAGGGAGCGGGGGGACAGCGTGGGGGGGGGGGGCGACAATCAGTTGTTTACTGGGAAGCTCTAAACGAGCTCGCCAGGGCTTGAGGTTGCGGCGGTCGCCTCTTCCCGGCTCAGCCCGCAGTGGGAAACTAGAGTGCCGGCGCCGAACCCGGGGGTGGGTGGTTCATTGGCTTTCCCGCTTTCCATAAAACAATAGTGCCCAGAAGCGAGGTCTGATTTCTATGAAGTTGTCTGAGACCTTGCAGCGCCTAGGGCGCCTGTGCCACCTTTCTCTGTACCTGCTTTCCCAAGCCAAACTGGGCTTGGTGAAATCTGGGCCCGGAGTATTTTATGTGGCCCCAAAGACCAAGTGCTTATCCCACTCCATCCGCGGAGAAAGCACCTTTGAAGGAGTATGAATAATACAGCGCTTTGTCCCTTTTCCACATGCCAATATTAGGAATAAAAGTGTTGGTGAACAACCCCGGGGTTTCTAGACATTGAAATTAAAATCAAGCCAACAAAATCAGCAGCGTTTCTCTTTTAAGTGGGACACTGGGAAGTCTTGCTCGTACTGTGCTTGAATTCTGGTCTTGTATATACTTGCACAATGCCGGTTGGAATTATATTCATTATAATATATACATGTTAATTTTAGGTTCATGAATCTCAAGGGTCAGATTCCTCCCCTGCTGCCAGTTCAGGCTATGAATCTTCCACTCCACCCGCTATAGCTTCTGCAAACAGTAAAGATACCACTAAACCCCCTTCTGCAGTTCAAACTAGCACCAGCCACAACCCTGGACTTCCTCCCAATTTTAACGAATGGTACGTCTGAGGACAAACACAAACCCTGTTAACCATAAAATGGACCAAATGTATTTTAAAAAGAAAACTGAGACCAATCAAATGGAACTGGAGTTTTAAGGCAAGAGGCCATATATAGGGCTACATCTTGTTCATTGTAATTGTCTAGGAAGGTTTCTGGGTAAGATCCAAAAGTAGGCATGCCCTTTCTCAGGATTAGGAAACATGTTTTGGCATTTGAAAGATGAAAAAAAAAATATTTTCACTGCTTTTTCTCCCCTTTCTCATGCTGTCTGCATACCCCATCCCTAAACTCCTTCAGTTCATTTTAACACTTGTCTTGTTTTTTTGAGAGGAAGTTATAGAAGGCTTGGTGGTGGTGATGTTAAGCTGATTCTTCACCTTAGTGGTGATTGTTTAAACTCTCACAGTCTTAAACCGTGCCAAAGTCCTGTTATGTCTTGAACTTTTTCTCAAAGCATTACTCTTGTGAATGTATTTTTGTCTAATGGGGTCAAAACTGTTGGTCAGTGTTTTTTCAGGATGAGGATGTGATGTTACTCTACACAGATTGTGACATTTAGTATACAGTTGCCTTTTGTAATAACTTTTTTTTTGTAAATACATACCCATTGATGCCATATTTATCGTTGTAATTTAATTATTGCTACAAGTGCCGGGAACTGAACAATATTTATGGATAAGTGTTTTCTAACAAATTCTGTACAGCTTTTGATTATAACTGCTTTAGCATTAAATTTTATTGTTTTGAAAGAACAAAATTTACAATTTTTGAACCACTGACTCCTTTCTCTTGTTTTGTAACAGCCTCCTAAAAAGAGGAGATGTGAGCAAATGAATCTTGTCTGTTGGTATTTATAACTCAGATCCCTTTTTTAATTGTTATATTATTTTTCTACTGTGGTATGGATTATTTACAGTGTCATTTTCCATCTGGTAAGATCCTCCTTTCTTTATCTCTAGCTCAGATGGTTCTTTAACTGCGAGTTTAAATGTGCTTGTCCCCAATTTTCGGCATGCAAATCAAGTATTACTGATCAATTCAGTTAGTGGCCATGACATCTCAATCTTGTACTTCAAAGACTGAGAAGCTGGATTTAATCATCCCTGCCCTACATATATAAACATGAGGTAACCTAATGAGTTTTATGTCCCTTACTTTTTTATTACCTTACATAAAAATGAACATCTCAGCAGGATGCATGTCCTTCTATTCTATCGAGAGATTACCCATATACCTATATATGTTTGTATCTATGACTTACCTAATCTGCCTATCACATCTACCGAGCTATCTATATATTTTCAAAAGTAAGCATGTCTGAAACAGTGGTGATGAGTAAGGCCAGTTGAGCCTGCTTACTTAAGGTTAAAGTGCTTCTTAAAAAATAAACCATAGTCCATTTAAAATTTGGGAAGGCAAAGTCTGATTTGGTTTACTGTATATAGTTCAATTCATAATTTTCACAATTATTCATAACCTTTTTATAGTGGTATAATAACTGCAGCAGTTCTGAAATTATACTATGAAAAGAAAATTCATTTGCAAAATGTGTATTTTTAAAGTTCATGGTTTGTAGGCAAAGATGTTAAGAACATTGTTTCCATTAAAATCAATAACAATGAAAAATGGTTGTTTGCTTTGTAATAAAATATTAACAATCCATTCAATCTTTAGTGAAGCAACTCATTTGGACAAACAGTTTTTACAGTCATATGAAAAACAAACTGCTTACTATTTGGGGGGGTTGGAGTGGGTAGAGAATTAAGACTTCTTTAACTAACTTAGGGGGCTGTTTAATATTGAGAGCCCAATCTCTGCATGAATAACCAGCTTGCAAATCAGTAAATAGAATGGTGGAGATAACGAATTGTAAAGAATTTAGAAATGTAATGAATAGGCTTAAGTACCCTCCTTCTCTTGAAGGGGCAATGATCTAGGTTTTTTGGTGGCAGTCAATTTGGTATTATACATAATCATTTTGAATTCTAGAATTTTGTTTATTGTTATTTTTAAAGAAATAAAGTCTTGGCACATCTTATTTATGTTATAACATTTTTGTATTTGGTGCCTGAATTTTTAAATGTTTAAATAAATTAACCTTAAATTGAAATGCTCAGAACTGATGATTAAAAGAAATTTTGACTCCCTGGATACAGTTGAAGCAGTCTATTTTAAGTTATCTATTGATGTTTATCAACAGACAGTTAATTATTCATAGCTTCTAATTGCAAATTGCTTTGGGTATGATTTTTTTGTTTGTGGAGAAGGGTTTTTTTTTTTTTTTTTTTTTTTTTGCACTTTCCTCCACCAGTAGAGAAGGCAAAGGCCTGAATGCCATGAACAGAGATTGGGATGACATCACAAATGATGAGCAGATAACCTGGTCAGTATACCATACAACTCCTACCCCAGACATTCCAGTCTTGACCTTGACATTGAGGGTACTGGATCAAATTCCTATTTCAGGATTTTTCTTTCACTCCAAACCAAAGAGTGTTAAATGCTCAGTAAATTTTCAGGAAGTGTATACTCATAAGATTGGCTGAAAACATATTCAAACTGAAGTCTAAATAGTGTTTTTCTTCTGAAATATTCAGTGAACTTTAACAGTTCACTGTTTTCTTCATGAATTCCTTTTCTACCCTCACCCAAACTTAAACCTAATCTTAAATGGGAGTAGAGTGATGGGTTCGATGCAAGATTCTCTCAGAAACTAGCTTCTTCTCCCCCCTTACGAATATTAAATATATCTTTAGAAGACAAAAATAAGAGTTTTATCTTTCCTGAGTAAGCTTGAAACCATTTTACCAAAAACTTTACAATAAAGCATTGTGTCCTAAGAGGAAAAAAAATGACAATTAACAATGATGATAACCAATATTAAGATAATGTGAAAGTTTTACCCCTATACACAATTTCCTCTAATTTGGATGTAGCATCATATTTATCATAGTCTATGTCCTTTGCTCTTGTCAATTTTTACAATGAAAAGTAGAAAACTTTTCAGATTTTCTTCCTATAATTTGACTTTGGGCATGCACATTTATACTCTTGAATTTTCAGGAAATATCTTTAAAGAATAAGCACCTCCCCCCCCCCCCCCCAACAAACAAAACCTTGCAACCCTAAAAATGGCTCAGCTGGAAAACATGAATGTCATTTGGCCTCTAATTATTATATACCACTATTTTCATTCTTGCTCTGGTAAGATCTTTGTTAAAAATCCATTACCTTCAAAAATGGGTGGTTTAGCTTAAGATTTCCACTGTTGGACCGGGAAGGGGGAAGTGTATGTTTCCACGTAGACAGAAAATTGGCCTTTATTCAGTTTGGAAGGTTAAAGATCAGGATCCAGGCTAAGCGAGGTAGGCAGTCTTAGCAAGTTCCAGGGTTTGAGAGCCAGCGGGGACAGCCTCTGCTCACTAAGCCTTCCAGGAAAGTTGTGTTCAGGATTCCTTGCCCCTCCCCCCTTCTCGCTGCCTGCTGTCTTCTTATCCCCTGGCTCCCTCTCCTCCCCCCAATACCCTCCCCTCAAACATACGAAAAAAAGTCCAAGGGCCTCTTTCCACTTAAGTTTCTCAAAGAATCGCCACCGGCGTGTCCATACCCTGAAGAGCGGTTCTCTGCTTGGCAGCTTGGATGGTTTTCTCTCGGGATGTCTGACTCTGAAGGCTCAAGTCTCTAGTCGGGATTTGCCCCGCGATGAGACCAAGCGTTCTGGAAGTCGGAGCACCCAGGTTCCCTATCCAGACCAAGTTCTTGCAAGTCCCAGCCAAAGCTCCGAGGGGGTGGGGGGGAGGACCTCATTTCCTCTGGTCAATTCTCTTTGCGGTCTTGGCCCGCTGACCCTTTGACCTCCACCTACAGGGCGCTTGGCGGCCTTAAGCCGGCGGTCGCCCCGGCTTCGAGGACGCTTCGCGCCCCATCGCCTCCCGGCCTCATTAGGCTGACGGGGCTGTAAAGCAGGAATCAGTCGCTGCCTAATCCGGACCTGGGGTCAATACGAGCCCAAACAATGGTGAGCTCCGAAGGCCACTGCGTAGCGTTGGCCACAAACTTTGTGATCCATTCGTTTTCTTAAGGTGGGGCTGGGAGGAGGCGAGGGAGGGAGGTACTTGTACACCCGAAAACTGCTCTTAAACGAATGTACTCTCCCTCGACCTTCCAATCTCTTAGCAGTGCTATGGATTGGAAGGGGTGTAGAGGCCCGCACGAAGGGCTGTCCCTGTGCGCGGGGGGGGGGGGGGGGGGGGACAGACTTTGAAGTGAGTTTTTAGCGCACACATGTGAGCTCAGCCAGGGCCGGAGCCGGGACCTGCTGGGAGGAAAGAGGAGGCTCAGCCCGGGCCCGACCCCTCCCCCGCTTCCCGTCGCTGCAGCCTTTTCTAGCCCCGGCTGGGGGCCCGCCACCCCCTCCCCACTCTCGGGCCCTCTTCCCGCGCAGGCGCACACTCCAAAGCCGTCGGGTCGGATTTTGCTGGGAGGTGGTGGGGGCCAGAGTTGAAAGCGCCTTTGCAGCGACGCAGCCTCCACTGAGCCAGGAGGGAAAAGAAGATAGGCGTGTGGGAAAAGGGGGATTGGTTTTGGGGCGGCTGTCGAGTCGTGAACGTGGCAGCCTTATGCGAACCCCCGCGGAGCGCAGCAAAGCTCAGACTGCGGGCTGAAAAACTGTCTTTGGTTTAAACTCCCTTGTTATTTCACAGCTCTGAGGCCTCTCGGGAGGATGTGGGTCGTGGCGGTCAAACGCAAAATTGTTAAAAAACAGAAGCAAATAAGTTCTTCCAGGGCATTCTGGGAGGTAGAAGTTGCTAGTCTTCTGGGGGTTGGGTTTCCCAGGGGGACTTAGATGTGAAACCTTCCAGAGCTCGTCCCACCCTCCAGTCCCGACTTAAAACCTCCGGACCCCCATGGGGGAGGGCATACTATTTTGAGTTATAGTGCAAAGGGAGAGATTCCACAGCACCTTCCAGCCCTTAAAAATGTCAATGACTGGACAGACACTATGTTCTCTTCTAGGACAATGGAGAGGCCCATGAACGGATCACATAGGCACCTTTGCCAAAACTCTGTTTTCTGCATATCTCATTTAAACGTGAGCCTATGAAAAATGGAACTGTTGAAGCTCTTGTGTGTGCTCTAACAGCTGGTGGTCTTAACAAGAAAAATAAAAAGGCCACAATCCCGAAACTTTCATTCAACTTTGCTTAACTAACTGCCTTAATGCGAAGTGTGAAAGAACCTTTCTGATTGCTCTGGGATCTTGAGCTTGTCTTTACTCCGCAGAAAAATGCTGCAGATTCACTAAAATATAGGATTAAAAATTGTAGGTATCAACCCTCTGGCTCCTCTAGGAAAATAAGCACGAATTCTTTCAGGTTGGGTGTTCTTGAAGGCCAACAGCTACACGAAAAGTCAACCTTCTTGGGGCTGATTCCTGTCAAGCATTTGGGCTTCTGAAGGT